TAGAGAGAATTTTTAATATTTATTTTTTAGTTCTCGGCGGACACAACATCTTTGTTGGTATGTGGTGCTGAGGATTGAACCCGGGCCGCACGCATGCCAGGCGAGCGCGCTACCGCTTGAGCCACATCCCCAGCCCCTGGAGGCAGGTTCTTGATAGGTTGTCTGGGCTGACCTCAAAAAGGACAAACACAAATCTAAAGCAAAGTTACCAAAATTAAACAAAGGAACTTAATAACTAAAATATAACATATGGTGGACAATGTATATATAAATTTTTTATAAGTTGAGCTGGGGATGTGGTTCAAGCGGTAGCACACTCGCCTGGCATGCATGCGGCCCGGGTTCGATCCTCAGCACCACATACAAAGAAAGATGTTGTGTCTGCCGAAAACTAAAAAATAAATATTAAAATTCTCTCTCAACACAGTGTCCCTGATATAGTATTCCAGGGATTTAAAAAAATTTTTTTTTAATTAGTTGACTGCTATGTATTATATATATGGTGTGTTATTAAATACTTATGGCACTGTTTTCATTCCCTTTGCCTAGGAAGAAAAAACAGATAGCAAGAAGTCGGAAGAAAACATTAAGAGAGATGAGCCATCAAGTGAGGAAAGTGATCTAGGTGAGGAGACAGTTTGTATTTGATGATCTTATGATGCTGGGTCAGTTTTTATTGGAGTGACAAAATTTGGAGGTTTTGAAACTATAAATATACTCCAGTTATTAATTGCGCAGTCTTTTTGTCACAGAATGAATCTAAAAGCTAAAGAAAAATACTTGGGAGTTTTTCAACTTTTGAAAATCAGTTGATATTCAATATTGTTAGAAAGGTATTCTTAAGTGCAATTTGGTGGCTTAATTGAAAGTCTTACATTTTTTATAAAGTGTCTTTTTTAGTTTTTCTCAATTTTGATAACTATAATTAAATTTACTGATTCTCCCCCTAAAGCATTTTATATGCACAAATCAAACTTTTTGTAGTTCGACAATCTCAGTTTATGTTAAAACGGATTAAACATTTTTGTTGTTGTACCATTCTCAAAGTCTCTAACCTTTTCAGTTAGAAGTTGACCAAGTTCTCTTTTTTAAAAAATATTGTTTTAGTTGTTAGTAGACCTTTTATTTATTTATACATAGTGCCTTGCTAAGACTTGCTGCAAAGATGGCTTTGAACTTGTGTTCCTCCTGTTTCGACCTCCTGAGTGCTCTACGACTGAGCCACAACCCCAGCCCAATAAGTTGACTAAATTCTTGAGTGTAATGTACAACATGGTGACTATAGTTAATATGCTGTGTGCTTAAAATTTCTTGAGATAAGATCTCAAGTGTTATCACCAAAAAACTGAAAAGTAAATACGTGAGATGATGGATAGCTTAATTAACTTAATGAGAGGAATTGTTTTTATGATACATAGAARTATACTTTCATTAAAACACAACGTTGGCAGCTGGGGATGTAGCAATGGTAAAGCATGTGCGCCTATCAATCCCTGGACCCCCCCCACTAATGCATTGTCAACCTTAATACCGTGTTAATTGTCAGTCACCCCTCAGTTTTTCCCCAGCCCTTTATATATTTTATTTTGAGACGGGGTCTTACTAAGTTGCTCAGGGCCTTACTAAGTTGCAGAGGCTGGACTCGAACTTGTGATCTTCCTGCCTCAGCCTCCCAAATTATAGGGGTGTGCAACCACTTTGTAATTTTAAAATGTTTTGTAGGTAAGTTGTTTTGCTGTGTTGGTATAAGTGGAAATTGTCCTTCCACCCAAAATTTGCATCATGCCTCTTTTCTTTCCTGTTTTGGTTATAATACTAGCCATAGGACTTGATTTTTGAATCAGTAGTATGTCTATTTTAAAATTGAAATTTGTCCACACTATATTTTAGTATATAATAAGTATGTTAAAATTACATAGTATTTCATATTTTACATTACTATATTACTATATTACTTCATATATTTTATTTTTTGGTACTAGAGATTGAAGCCAGGAATGCTCTACAACTGAATTACATTTCCAGTCCTTTTTATTTTTTAATTTTRAGATAGTCTTGCTAAATTGCTTAGGTCCTCGATAAATTGCTAATGGCCAGTCAGGAATTTGCGATTCTCCCGTCTCAGCTTCCCGAGTTGCTGGAGTTACAGGTGTGTGTCACCATGCCTGGCTTGAACTAACATTGTAGTAGATCATTGTGTAGAAAAAAATTTATTTGATCTGCATTGCTTTAACACTGAGTCATTATTGTATTTATGTATAATACTAGAAACTATGGACATGCTAACATTCCCACTACAATCCAATTATAATTATCCATTATGATGCAACAGTTGAAGTGGTAAGTCTTCCTAAAACAATAAAATTATACTTAACAAGTATTACAATTAAAATATTCAAATTAGTTATGCTGGCCTGTCGCGTTCCTCACAACTAAAACACTCAGGGTCACTCCAGGGGAACTGGGCTGCACGAAATAACTACACAAGAGACAGAGATACCTTTTTCTTTGAGGTCCTGTGACAAGGGGCCAAAGAAAGAGCAAGCAAGTGGGTGCTGAACCCTTTTATTAAGGAAAAGCCATTCACATGAGGCAAAGAGTCAGTAGCAAGTTGACCGACATCTAGAAAGCCCATACCCAAAAGCAGAGCAAGAGAAGGGGACACACTCAGGGCGTTTCCATGGAACATTGGATCCCAGACAGGACAAAGTGGTAATATTACAAAAGAACCCGTGAGTGTAGCTCAATCCATGGGGAGACATGCCTACGTCTGAAGACACGCCCTCAAACTTCCTGGACTGTGACAATGTCCAGGTCACTCTGAGATGTAGTGACCTGTCAAAGCCTCTTCTCTCCAGGATGGAAGGCATGAACAGTTCAGAGTGGCTCCCCACACAGGCCAAAACTGAACACAAATATGAATAAAAACTGAATATACAAATACTCAACTCAATTATGCTGGTCATAGTCCATCCATTTTTAATACTTCTGTCTGGGTAGTGGATCTGCTTTGTACAATGCAAGCCTTAATGTTCTTTTCTCATCTTTGGCAGAAATTGATAATGAAGGTGTGATTGAACCAGACACTGATGCTCCTCAAGAAATGGGAGATGAAAATGCGGAGGTAAGTTCACTGTTTCATTCTCTGTTTATTATAAGGAATATAAAGTTTCCCACTGTTGGAATTATTTTACAACATGACTTCCAGAAAAGCACATATTAAATCTTTGGCTTTAGGCTGGGGTTGTGGCTCAGTGGTAGAGTGCTTACCTGGCACATGTGAGGCACTGTGTTGGATCCTTAGTACCATATAAAACTAAGTAAATGAAATGAATATATTATGCCCATCTACAACCTCCAAAAACTATTTTTAAAAATAAGGCATTTAGCTAAGCATTTTATTTTATTACATAAAAACTTGATTTGTGAAAATCTCCTGTTATTTTGTTTGGTCTTTAAGTTTGCATCTGGTTTGATTGCTCTATAAAGTTAGTAACATTCACTATATACTTAAAAAAAAAGAATTGTGTCTTAGTGGGATATCTAAAGCCACACAGTTTTCCAAAATGGTTTYGTCACAGGGAATCCTCAAAGATTGAGAGATTTGATTCCTGAGCCTTGAAAAAATTTTAGATTTTACAGTGATTAGTGGTATTCCAAAGGGTTCTGGCACACGAACATATGTTATAGATTATATGCAGTAGGGCAGAAATTAGGAAAAACTGGCCTGGCAGGTGGCGCATACCTACAATTCCAGCAGTCCAAGGCTAAGGCAAAAGGATCGTGAATTCAAAGATAGCTTCAGCAAAAGTGAGGTATTAAGTGACTCAATGAGATTCTGTCTCTAAATAAAATAGAAAATAGGGCTGAGGATGCGGCTTAGTGGTAAGTGCCCCTGAGTTCAATCCCAGGTACCAAAAAAGAACAACTACAACAAAAAATGAAATTAGGAAAATCTGTAAAATCTTCTTTTTTTTAAWTTTTTTTTTTGAGAGAGAAGAGAATTTTAATATTTATTTTTTAGTTTTCGGCGGACACAACATCTTTGTTTGTATGTGGTGCTGAGGATCGAACCCGGGCCGCACGCATGCCAGGCGAGTGCGCTACTGCTTGAGCCACATCCCCAGCCCCTGTAAAATCTTCTCGATGGTGTTAGACCAAGACGCAAGAAAAGACCTCTGACTCCAATTAAAATCAAATTAAAGCAAGCTTATTATTTCGACTGGCCGGGCTGCTTCTCCCACCCAAAACCGCGAGAACAAGACAGCAGGCTCAGCTTTCCTGCAGCCCAGCTTTATAGCCCAGAAAGTTACACAAAGTGGGGTTACGGATAACAGAACTCTGAGGTGCATGACACTAATGCTAGTTTATATTTTTGCTGGCCCCGACATCAGATATGAAGGTCTAATTAGAGTCTCAGAGAGGGTCGTTATCTGGCCAGGGAAGGCCAAGATTTGTGAGGTGTCACTAAAGTTTCAGCGAGGGCTGCAATCTGGTCAGAGAGCCAGGCAAGTCGAAATTATCTTTTCATGGCTCCCAATTTTGAGAAAAGATAAGGTTGGGTCTATCAGTGGCTGATGGGGGGAAATGCTTAGAAGCACTCGAACGTAATAATAGCAACTTTTAAAATATTGGTCTGTCCTCAACTCTTAATATTGTCAGATTTGATCTTTGCCAGACTTGTCACGTGAACTAATATGTCCTTGTTTTTAATTTGCATTTTCCTGATTGCTGAACAAGGTTGAGCGTTATAATGTCTTTCAGTTATTTATAAATTCTGTTCAGACCCTTACCCAGTTTTTCAACTAGGTTGTTTCTCTTTTGCTTTTCTGATCTATAGTTTACCTGTCAGTGTCATTATTGAAGAATTCCTTTTCTCTCTGATGCAAAAATAGTACTGTTTCCATATGTGTTTGGGTTGGTGGTCTTTTGTTGATTTGCCTAATTTTTTCTTTGCACTAATGCCTCATTGTCTTTAACATATAAACCTTGTCACTTGGTAGGACAGGGACCTCTAAAACTTGAGGAGTGTTTTGGCCCTTTGTTTTTCTGTATAAATTTCAGAATCAGATTGTGAAATCTCTCTTCCTCCAAATTAAGCTTCTCCCACTAGAAATGTATTAATTCTAAATCTAGTTAGGGAGAGAACATACCTCCCCTCTTGAGATTAATTTTTAATTCTTTTTTAAAATGTCTTTCAGTAACCTGTAACATTTTCCCTGTCTTATGCATGTTTGTCAAGAATAGATACAAGTACTTTTTGTCATCATTTGTAAAAGAAATCCTTAAAAATTGTATGATCTGTTTATTGATTGGATTATTTCACTTCAGTGTTTCTATGTTTCTAGTAACTTGTCTGTTCTATTTGGGATTCATTGGGCATCTTAAATTCTAAGGTTGTTAATGTTCTTAAGCACTGGAACATCTCAAGTATTTCTTCAAAATATTGAGTTCTCCGTATTCTCTCTCCTCCCTTATTCTGCAACCTGATTAGATATATGGGAGGTTCTTTTCACTATTAAGCTTTAGCTTTTTATTTCTGTACTGAATTACGTATATTTTTCTAGTCCATTGATGTTCCATTGATGTTTTAATTGTAGTGTTTTATGTTTTTCAGCTGATTGTGGTAGCACATACATGTAATCCCACTTACCTGGGAGGCTGACACAGGAACATGACAAGTTTGAGGGCAGCCTTTGCATTTTAGCAAAACCCTGTCTCAAAATTTTAAAAAAGGTCTAGGGATTTTTTTCAGAGATACAGTGCCCCTGAGTTTAGTCCCCGATGTGTGTGTGTGKGGGGGGGCAGGGGCCATTTTGATACTTTACTTTGATTCTTTTTAAAGTCTACTTGGTTTTTCTAAGTCTTGCTTTTTACCCATTTTCAGAAATTGATTTTATTAAATACATTAAGTTCTGTAGGACTTTTGTTGGTCTTACTCTCTCATTTTTTTCTGGCTCTTGCTCATTGATGTGTCTTGTTTACTTGTGCTGTATGTGTATGTTTTATTTTGACCATGAGTTCTTTGGTTCATTGGGTCTCGCCTTTGGAAAAATTTTGAGGCCTCTGTAGAAGGTATGTTCCTCCAAATGGGAGTATATTTGCTTGCATCAAAGCCCTGGACTTGGCACTACCAAACTTGTTTGTATTTTTTTAACTATACAAGTAATGGTGGAATTCCAGATAAGAGTCCAGCTCTTGTTTTTCACTACTCAGGAGAGGTTCTTTTTCCCCTCTTTTTTTTCTACTTGAATGTTCCTTTGTGTGGGACAGGGTTTTTTTTTTGGTTTTCTGTTATGCTTACCTGTGTAGGTCTTTGGAGTCCGAGATTTATCTTGGGCATTGTCTGGTTAGATGACATACATTCTCTTCACCTGAATCTACATACTTTGTGTCTGGTGTACTGTATTACTTTAAGAAACAATGTTGTAATGTATCAGGATTGACACCTGCTACAAGGGTGAAAAACAGATTGATCACTTGGGTTCATCACTGAACCTTCATTTAATTTTGTTACATTCTTAGGACAAAGCTTGGTTGATTTTAGAGTTTTTCAGGATATTGTGATTACCATATTGCCAGAAACAGAGTGGGTTTTTTTGCTAATGATTTTTCTGAAATTACTCAGGCATAGTTGGGTGTAGTAGCACATCCTTGTAATCCCAGTGACATAGGGAGGCTGAAGCACCTGCTTGAACCTGCAAATTCAAGTCTGTCTTATGCAACTTCGTGAGACCATGTCTCAAAATAATAAAAAGGGCTTGAGGTATAGCTCAGCGGTAAAGTGCCCTGTGTTCAATCCCTAGTACTACAAAAATAAGATAAAATTACTCTGGATTTGTGTAGGATTATTTCTGAGGAGTTTATTATATTTTTTCTTTCTTTTTTTGGGGGTGGGGTTGGGTGGGGGTACTAACGTTTAAACCCAGGGCCTTGTGCGTGCTAGATAAATGCTCTATCACTGAGCCATATCCTCAGCCCAACAACTTTTTTTTTTGAGAGAGAATTTTTTTTATATTTATTTTTCAGTTTTCGGCGGACACAGCATCTTTATTTTATTTTATGTGGTGCTGAGGATCAAACCCAGGGCCTCGCACATGGTAGGCCGGTGCTCTGCCGCTGAGCTGTTCTTTAATAGAATTTTATTTTTTCCTCTTGTGTGCTCTTATAAACTATGTGTCCTAGGTTTAGTTTTTGTTGTGATTATTATCTTGTTTATTACAATTTTTTTTTTTTACTGTACTGGCTATGAAATTCGGGGCCTCACTCATAACAGTCAGGCACTCTACCACTGAACCACATCCCCAGCCCCATTATCTTGTTCTATAACATTTTATAAATGACTTTTGCTGGTGTGGAGGAACTCTGGCTTTTGTTTGTTTTTAAATACTGCTCTTGTACCTGACAACTGTTGAATTGTCTTACTATATCTAATAACTTGTCAGTGCCTTTGGATTTTCTAGATAAGTATAAAGAATAAAGACAGCTATATTCCTTTTGATTCTTAAACCTATCAAATCATTTTCTTAATGAATTAGCCAGCACCTCCAGGCACTGTTTTCTACAGTGGTGGGGATAAAGTAGATGTGATTAAAGGAACTATTTCTGAATGTCTCTTTAAGATAGTCTATTTACTGAAAGTTTTTTTTTTAACTTTTGTACTGTCAACATCTTTCATTATATTTTTATGGCAATAAGTGAGACATGAGGGTTCAAGCTTAAAGGGAACTAGTTATCTGTGAGGAGATAGGACTTCGTATTTTTGTGTAGTTTTCTTAGTATTTTTGTGAAGGTGGTGGTAAAGCTAGGGCAGAAYAATCATGCTTTGTTCAGGATGGAGCAAAGCAAAGGTCATGTCTAGAGCATAGTGTGGAAAGTGAAGTTTGTTTAGTGAAAAGGCTTGCAGTACACGGTGACACACACCTGTAATCCTAGCAATTCGGGGGGTTGAGGGAGAATTGCAAGTTGAAAACGAGGCCCTAAGCAACCTACCCAAGACTCTGTCTCAAAACAAAAACAGGCTGGGGATGTGGCTCAGGTGTTAAGTACCTCTGGGTTCAATCTCCAGGTTTCCCACTTCCACTCTCCCCCACAAAAGGTTAAAAGCTCATGGTTTGGTCACCTGTGTGTCACTGTGACCAAAATAGCTGACAAGAACAACTTAGAGGAAGGAGTTTATTTGAGACTCACAGTTTCAGAGGTCTTAGTCCACAGACAGCAGGTTGAGACAGAACATTATGTCTGAAGGGCATGGTGGAGGACCGCTGCACACAGCCAGGAAGGGTTAGGAAGGAGTGGCAGGGAAAAAGGGACCCCCTTGCATGGCATATAATCACAGAATCACAGAACCACTTCCTGTAGTCATGACTCACTTGCTTTCAGTCATTACTTAGTCCTTTTAATCTAGGACAGGTTTATTAGGTTACAACTCTCACAAGTCAGGCATTTTACTTGCGAATGTCCTTCATTAACACAGGAGCCTTTGAGGAACACCTCATTTACAAATGATAATACTCATTCTTTATAATTTCTTACTAATCACTTATTGTGATTAATCTTGAGAATGAATGAAAATGTGGTTTGTAAAAGTCCAAAAAATTTTTGCTTCCTCCTTTTGCTTTCCTTACTACTAAGATAATGTTCAATTTCCTCAGATAACAGAGGAGATGATGGATCAAGCAAATGAAAAGAAAGGGGCTGCCATTGAAGCCCTGAATGATGGTAAGTATGTTTTTTTTTTTTTTTTTCTCCTTGCTACTGCAGTGACAATTAAATAGTGGGAAAGTTGAAGGGAACTTACATTTGTTATCATGCTGGTAGATGCTGGAATCACTCAGTGTCAGAGATGATGCTTGGGAGCATGGCAGATCCTGATAGTACTCAATAGCCTCTGCTTTTTGAGGGTATCATGGTGTTTCTTTTATGAGAAGCTTTAAAAAGAGGAAAGAACCCTTGTCACTCCTCACACCCCCACCAAAAGTAGTGGTAACCCTTAGAATTATTTTATATAATAGCACCCTTGATAGATGTTCATAGGTATATAACTCTCATCTTTCCCTGCACATTTGAAAAAATCCTATCAAAATGGAAGAGGGTTGATAGTATTTAGTGTAAGGCGTAATGGGTTATAATTTAATAATTGCATAAATGTGTTTTGTGGGTTCCCCCCATATATACTGCTGATTGAACCCAGTAAAACTCAGTGTTTTACGACTGAGCTACATCTTCAGCCTTATTTTTATTTATTTATTGTTACGTGGTGCTGAGGATCTAACCCTGCGCCTCGAGGCGCACATGCTGGATGAGTGCTCTTCCACTGAGCCACAACCCCAGCCCTTATTTTTTTATTTTGAGACAGAGTCTAAGTTGCTTAGGATATCTCTAGAGTGCTGAGACTGGCCTCGAACCTGAGATCCTCCTCTTTCAGCCTTCTGAGTTTTGGGGACTACAGGTGTGTATCACTGTTCCTGGCTACTATCAGTAATATGTTACACAAACCTGTTTGTATGATAGAGTGTCACAAGGTTGTATTAAATAGATGCTGTCACAATGCTGGTATGCATTTGGACTTCAAAGATTTAGAATGAGTACAATTTTATTTTATATTTTAGAATGAGTTCAGTATTGTTCCAAGTTGCAGATATATTCAGGTTTTTTATTTATTATATTTTTTGTTTTGGGAGCAGGATAATCTTATCACCTTTTTTGTGTAGATCCCTGTAACAAATTTATACAAGCTTATACAGCAACTGCGTTTAGTTTGCCCACCTGAAATGTTTTCTTTCTTTCTTTCTTTCTTTTTTTTTTTTAGAGAGAGAGAATTTTTTAATATTTATTTTTTAGTTTTTCGGCGGACACAACTCTGTTTGTATGTGGTGCTGAGGATCGAACCCGGGCCGCACGCATACCAGGCGAGCGCGCTACCACTTGAGCCACATCTCCACCCCCCAAAATGTTTTCTTTATTGCTTTCTGTTCACTGCCCCAAGATTATATAAGAACTACTTTTTATTGTATTGCTCTTCTGCTTGTTACTTGTGACTTTTTTATGTACATATTAAAGATTTGTCATATCCTATCAGTGTGCTAGAGTCAAGACTCCATATTTTACCTTTCCATCTTTGTTTTCTTCTATTTTGGAATATTAGTCTTCCATTCTGGTCAGACCTGTCTCCCTTTACATGTGCTTTACTACTACTACAGAGCTCTTTTTCACCTATTGCAATCTTTCATTTGTACCCATCAATTGTTCCCAACCAGTGCTTTTCCTAACCATTTCTGTTCCACAATAATCTTAATTTACCTACCACCTAGAATTTCTGTTTAACATTTAATACCCTGCATGCCTGGAAAGTTCAATATGTTTTTGTGTATATTATTTCATTAAAAACCTCATAATCATCTATTTTATGGAGCAAAAACYTGAGTGACTCAGATAAGTTGTGATTTACCCAGGATGTTTGCCATAGTGTCACCTATTTTTTTTTTTTTATTGTTGTCAATCATTTTGGCCTACTACCTTTTTTTTAAAATTTGTCTCAGCAGTATTTAACAATAAAAATGAAGCACTGCCTCTAATAAGTCATGTTTTTATTTTTATTTCCAAGCTCCCTGTTTATGTACTTATAAGTTTGACCCAGTTCTTACTTTAGATTTTGTGCAGTTTTATAGTATATTTTAAATGATGAAACACTAGCATTCTCAATGAGGCATCGTATTCATACCTCACAATGGCAAAGATACTTTGATTTCAAGAGGCAGGAATATAGTGAGAAACTGTACTATACACCAGAATCCCTTGGTTTGAATCCAGGTCTGGTACTTAACAGTGACTGCTTTCCTACCACATCATCATCTTTGAATAGTTACAACAAATTTATTGGTCTGCAAAGAATTCTTATGTAGCCCTTTCCAGAAAGTTTATCATGTCCTGAGCCTGATGAGCCTTTTATTTATTTATTTGATTGGGATTTGGAATAGATTTGGAGTTGGAATAGGAAGTAAGTGCTAACTTTTGAACACAGTAGATCTGAGTTGTGTATTAGATATTCAGTTGTAATACCTCTTGTGATATATGTAGTAATTAATAATTAATGTAATTAAATGTTTTATGATATTTTTATGAGTTCTATTAAAGTCGTTTACATGTTCACTAACTATAAATATTATTCTCAATGAATTGTGATATTTGTTTTAAAATTGTTTGTCTTGCCTCCCCAAGAAGTATTAGACTTTGTGCAAAGAACTGTTCTAATTCTGTGGTATATTTTTATTTGTTGAATAATTTCATTTAAGAGAAATCACATAAGAGATAAAGAAGCTAACTATGAATATGGGATCTAGTGAATAAATTTAAAATTAAGAATATGGCATCCTGTTCTTTGTTGGAGAGATCTTATATATCCCCAAATTGCCTGTATTGGGTGAGCTGCCACAGAGGAATGGTAAAAAGTTTGCTTTCAAGAGCCAGTTTTTTATTATATTTTGTGGATCTGGGGTTTGAACGCAGGGGTTCATGATAAGTACCCCTTCCTTTTTTTTTTTTTTTAACTTTTATGTGCTGCTGAGGATTGAACCCAGTGCCTAATACTTGGGAGGCTATCCCCTCTACCACTGAGCTACAGCCTCAACTAGTCTTTTCAAAAAAACTTCTATCTTCTGAACATTTCTCAACTTTTATTTTACTTTAGGTGAACTACAGAAAGCCATTGACTTGTTCACAGATGCTATCAAGCTAAATCCTCGCTTGGCCATTCTGTATGCCAAGAGAGCCAGGTGAGAACTCGAAATAGAAAAGCACCCCTTGTTGCATAATTTCTTCTCCTAGAATAGAATAGAAACATTGAATAAAATTTCTTCTATTCAATGTTTGAATAGAATTGCTGCCCTAGTAATCCCAAGCAGTCTTTATTATTTAAAATGAATTTTTTTAATACCACTCTTATTTTTTTAGTGTCTTCGTCAAATTACAGAAGCCAAATGCTGCCATTCGAGACTGTGACAGAGCCATTGAAATAAATCCTGATTCAGCTCAGCCTTACAAGTGGCGAGGGAAAGCCCACAGGTAAATAGTATTATTAATTATATTTTATGTTTTGAGGTGGTTTGTTTCAAAAAAAGTTTAAAGGCTTCAATTTCAAAGTAATAATGAGATCAATATGAAGAATTGAGGGAATATAATAAAGAACATATGCAAAATAAAAAATTATTTCACTTCTTCCATTCAAAGAAAGCTACCTTTAGTTCCTACTCTCTTTTTATAAGCAGACACTCATGTTTTGTCCTTTTATTTCACCTAGAAAGTAATGTGCAAGTAAGTATAAATCATGTTAATCCTTTTTTGATGTGTTGAAAGTTCCTGTTGTACATACTTTTTAAAATGTCTTGTGACTCTGAATTAAGAAATTAATTTTTTATTTAAATTTTAAACATTGTTTTAATAGAGCAACTTTACAATTACTATAGAAGAACTTGAAACTCTTTGTTAATCAAACTCTTTTCCTATAAGGAAGACAGATGCTGTGCTACATAGGGTGACTATGTATAAAAGGCTCTTTGTAATGAGTTTAAACTTATTTCAGACTTTTGGGCCACTGGGAAGAAGCAGCCCATGATCTTGCTCTTGCCTGTAAACTGGATTATGATGATGATGCTAGTGCAATGCTGAAAGAAGTTCAACCACGGGTATGGTAAAGTAGAAAAAGGGAAAGTTACTACTATAAGACTCTATGGCTTTAGGACTTAGGCCAGGGAGCCATAATTTATCTGAAAAATAGATGCAGAGAAACATTTGGAAGTTATAATCATTGAAGTTTGTGCTTAACTCTGAAATCTCATTAGGTTTTAATGCTTTTCATTTCTCATTATGTATTAGAATATGTTGTATTAACATGTTTGTAAGACTAGTGGAATTAAAGCCAGAAAATCAGAAATGGAAAAAAGCAAGTTTACAATGAGGCAAGAAATAGAAAACCCCATACATGTGGGATCTGGGATCACATCTGGTCTGTCCTACTATAATCACAGGTGTATACAGCCACTTTTGACAAAGCATGAGGGCTTTCTTGATGTGAGGAATTTCCAAAATCTAAAACATTCTGTTTACATTTATTGTATTTAAAATTGTTAGTTAAATTTAATGCACTTTATATGGTAGATCTATCAGCTTTATAAGAAAGTACACTTCTAAGAATTTATTTCCAAAGATTTTAAGATAATAGAGGTTTTATTGAATTTAACTTATCTAGAACCAAACTTCATTTGATCCCCCCCCATCCCAATAACATGGCTTAGCCGAGTCGTGATGAAAGATATTGTAGAAAACACGTTTTCTGGTGGCAGTGTGGCTCAGGGCTAGAGTACTTGCCTAGTATGCCTGGCCCTCAGTTCAGTCATCAGCACTGCCAAAAACTTCTAGCTATAGAACACATATTTGCTGCTGTGCGTGGTGGTGCATGCCTATAATCTCAGTGGCTTGGGAGACTGAGAGAATCATCAGTTCAAAGCCAGCCTCAGTAATGGCAAGGTGCTAAGCAACTCAGTGAGACCCTGTCTGTAATAAAATACAATATTGGGCTGGGAATGTTGTTCAGTGGTCGAATGTCCCTCAGTTCAGTCCCCAGTAACCCCCCCCCCCAAAAAAAAAAAAAGTTCACCCATGGGTATTTGCTTTCTTAATCCCAAAAGTAATTTAATGAGACTAAAGACTTAGTTTTTTTTTTTTTTCTTTTTTGTGGTGTTGGGGATCAAATCCAGGGCCTAATTAAGCATATACTCTAACTGCTGAGTTATATCCCTGGCCCCAAGACTAAATGTTTCTGGCCCCCTCCTCATTTTATAAATGACACAACTGTGACCAACTCCTGTTTTGTGAGTTTCCAGTGTCTGCTTTCTCATGACAAACATCATTAATAATTTTCCTACTGAACTGAGCTGTAACTGAATTCTTAACACTGTGTACCTGGTAGAAACTAATAAGCAAGAATTGTTCTGACCTTTGAAACTTATTTGTTGTCCTTGATCATACTCAGTTAATTGTTTGAGATTATTGCATTTTTCTCTATCCGTACATCCCAGACTTGTGTCTTGTACATTTGCGTTTGGTCTTGTTAATGCCTGAATTTGTGTTAGGTCATTTCCTATAAGATAAATGTCATTTTTATGAACTACCTATTGAATTAAACAACTCTCCACAAAGAAAAGTAACTTAAAAGCTGTGTTGCCCTTAGCCTAAATTTGGAGCACACTTTACCTATGGTTTCTGATTTCTAGGCCCAGAAAATTGCTGAACATCGGAGAAAATATGAGCGAAAACGTGAAGAGCGAGAGATCAAAGAAAGAATAGAAAGAGTTAAGAAGGCTCGAGAAGAACATGAGAGAGCCCAGAGGGTAAATTTTTTTAGTTAAGCCTGAGTGGAACATACTGTAGATCATTGTTTTGAGATATTATTCCAACTCCTAGCCAATTTATTTAATGCTGGCTGAAGTTCTATAGAGTGTTTATTACTTTAAAAGGAGTCTCCTTTCATTGTTTCCAATGTGTGGGGATATTTTTAGTCTTTAAAATTTTTAAGTTGGGTTATATTTAACCAAAGTGTGTTCTTTTTATGTTTTTCTAAAGTCAAAAATTTTAGGCTGGGGGTGTAGCTCTAGCTCAGTGGTAGATCATTTGTCTACCATGCACTGGGCCCTGAGTTCTATCCCTAGGACTCCTTGCAAAACTCCCCACCCCCAATTTTTTAAGTCAGAAATTTTTCATAATCAAATGATTAAAATTTGGCGATGTTTTTTGTTTGGTTTGTTTGAACAGGATTTGCCCTTTCTTTTTTCTTACGAAAAAGCTTATGTGTAAAACACACAAGACTATTAATATTTAACTCATTCACAAAACTTCAAAATAAAATCTCATCAAGATGATCTCTACCAACAATTTTCCTTTAAAGAAGTTAAACCAAATTTCAGAATGGTTTAAATTGACATAGGCTGTACATGTTAAACTTTGAAAGAAACTACTAAAGTTTTTGCTTTAAACTGGAAAAAAAACTATGGTGGAAAGTGTCTTTTTAAAAAGAACCCTTCATCCTGCTGTTCCTAAAATTACATTCATGTTAACTGAAGAAAAAATGTTAAAGCATACAGTAAACATTACTCTTAGAATAACTGAAGAAAGGCATTAAGATGTATGGCTTTCTGTGTGATTGTTATTACTATCTATAAATAAAGTCATTGCTGTTTGACTGAAAAAGGTTTTTACAAAACTTCACTTCCAAATTAACATTTTTATTAAATCAAGTTTTAAAAAATGTTCACTGTAGAAGAGTCAACAAGGGTTTTAAGAAAACCAGAATATACCTTTTTATTCAATATATGTATATATTAGCAGCAAACTACTTCTGAGATTTTGATCTTTTAGTAATTTTAAAGAAAGCATAAACATTGTGTATTAGTATGGAATGTCAGCGAATTTACTTTAACCTTTTTTTCTGTGATTTGGCCCTTCTACAAAATACTTTATGATTCCCAATATTAAAGAAAAACTTAGTTTTGACTATAAAGTAGCAAAACTGTGGCTGGTAAAATCTATTTTCACTACCATCATAGTCACATGCATTATTTTTGAGAATAACAAATGAGCATCATATAAATAGGGTAATTGTGTATAAACTCAATTTTTAAGGTGTAATAGCAACCAACTTATATCATTTAGCATTTGTTACTTTTTTAAAAATTTTGGTGATATAAGTTTCATCTCAGCTAATGAGAAACACTGGCTATTGAAAGTTCTGTGGCAAAACAACTGTTATTCAGCTTGGTATTTCAACTTACAAAATGATCAAACAAACAAGATTGAATTACCAGTTGCCCCCAAAGAAATAATTTTTTTTCTCGATAATTCCTTCTAATAGCAAAAAGGAAATGTCTTTGCAATGAACTTTTACTTTTTAAGAGTTAACATTATTAAAGAAATCTAATCTTCAAAAATAATCTAATCTTCAAAAATACTAAATGTTATATAAATACAATTTTCTTATAGTTGAGTACTTCAGCTATAATCTGTGTTTAAAAAATTTCCTTTGGATTCTTCCATTTAGCACTTCAAGTTTTCATTCTGCAACTCTGACAACTGGCTCAGATTTGTTACATTTATGTCCAATCACGTCTTTCAGATTTTGCTGTTGTGTGATACCTGGGTACAATAAATAGGAAAAACTGCACCAAATTTCAAAAGCAACAGAATAATAATGAAAAATTCAAAAGTATGTAATATAAAAAAAGATAAAAGTACAACAGGGATTCCCTTTTCACTATATTTCTGAGATATAATCCTTTTTTATGCTTTTAAAGTAATGTCATAACTTTCATTTTTTAACTTGTCAAGAAGATGAAGTTTTTAGGTGGCCCAACTTTTATTTTTCAATTAAAAAATTTAAAACAATAGACTGAATTACTTTTATTAATATACACATCAAGTTACTGAAACGGTGACTTCATATAGTTTTCCTCTTAAAGATGGCACTTGCAGGTACAAAGATGTATAGTTGTCTACAGGCTTCAGATGTTTACTTGAAAAGATTCTTCCAACAGCATTTTAATATTGGGTTTTCTCATCTAGCTGAAGATTCACAAATTCTCCATAATCAAATTGATGTCTTTGATTTAGATGACTAATGAAATTTCTAGTAATCTGGCTAGGATCTCCCCAAGGAAGAGACACACAAATGTCACAGGAACTATCTGAAATAGATGGTTACTGTTACAGTGATCAAGTAAACGCTATCTAGTAAAATTTGACCCTTGACACAAGGGACACTTAAAGGTGGGATGCCCAGAACATGTATTCTCTTGGTAAGTTTCTGTGTTATCAGATGTGGATGTTTCACCCCTGTTACTATTCCCTACTGAATCTTGAGATATCTGAAAGTTTGGAATGATGGAAGAAACACCATATTCATCCTGATACTTCCAAGATTTATAACGATGTCTCATACGATAGAATTTAATCTGTTTTGCACAGCATCTAGAGCTACCAGAAAACTTCCTCTTGATATTTTCAAGATCTAAGATCCATTCTGTACACACTCTTTCTCTTCTAGTCACATTTCCACATGTATTCCACTTTCTCTCATTGCAGTCAGGAAACATTTTCTACAGAAACTCCACTCTTGTAGTAACCGAGTAATAATGAACGGAAGGATAACACAAAGGGAAACTTCCACTTCAATATCTGGAAATCCTGTCAGTTATGTGCTGACAGGCCACAGTCCGCATGGGCGTTTTTAGCACCTCCTGACAGACCAGGCAGTAGAAATCTTCTGTGTAGGCCGTGGCTGTGGACAGCTCCTCAGTCATCTCCTCGGCCATGTCGGGGCAGAGGAACAAGGCGGTGGTGGTCCGGAGCCCAACTCCCTGCGCAGACCCCCTTGTTTCTTATTTTAAAGATAATGCTTGATTTTTTTTTTTTTTTTTTTTTTTTTTTAGTCTCATAGAACATAATCTTTAGAATTTTCATACATTTATATGTCTTATTTTTTACCTGGGTGTAAGGGAGATTTTATATATCTTTTCATTTTGTCTTAAAAAAATGGCAGATCTATAAACATATTTGTAGTGTTTATCTAATTTTGTWGAGAGAATATGGAGAATTTGAAACTGGGAAATAATTGTTGCGGCAGTCTTAGTAATCTAGTCAAAGGCTTTCATTTTGGAGTTAAAACATTTGAGAATTTGCAATTTTTATAAGCAATTGCTTTTCTTGATTTGTTTTTCAGAGAAATAAAATATTCTATTTGAAATCATTAAAATAATGATCAACTTGCCTTGTAGATACAAGGCCCTGGGTTCAATGCCCAGTTCCACAGAAGAATAATATGATGATGATGCTCAATGAGAATTGTGTTCGAAAATTTGTTTTCAAAGAGGGATAGAGTGTACCATTTAATTTAGTATTGCCTTTTACGTTTATCATTTTTAAAAAATCTGCTAATGGCTTATTTTGTAATTTTTTTGTGAGAAATTTACATGGATTAGTAATGTTGGCAGACTATCCTGTGATATAATTTATTTATTTTTTCTTTTTAAAGGAGGAAGAAGCCAGACGACAAGCAGGAGCTCAGTTTGGCTCTTTTCCAGGTACATTTGGGGAAAAACTGAAACTGTTAATACTATAAACAATTAAAATATGTTCTATTTGGAGGGCTCGTGTGTGTAGAATGAGATTGACTTACATGCTAAATATATTTAAGAATTTTTATGTTAGAAATAGAGTATTTTTCCCTCAGAATTTGAGTAGTATATATATATATATATATTTTAGATTTTATTTATTTATTTATTTTTTTAGTTTTCAGCAGACACAACATCTTTGTTTGTATGTGGTGCTGAGGATCGAACCCGGGCCGCACACATGCAAGGCGAGCGCGCTACCGCTTGAGCCACGTCCCCAGCCCCAGTAGTATATTTTTTTAAATGACTAGCTTATATTGGATTTTGAGTGTTACACTTTTATTAATTAATTATGATGCAATTTAAATATTTTTAAATTGCCATAATGGAATTTTTGTTCTGTTATACAGTAAAACTCATGAGGATATGTAAAACACTATATTGTTGAGCTTTACAACTTACCAAGACCATGTCTGAAAATAAAATAACGGGTTGGGGTGGTCAGTCCCGGGTACTGTCATAAAAATAACAAAACATTCTTCTTTTTTTGGCAAATTTTTTATAAGAAACAAGGCAATGTTTTGAATGATAACAAAGGATCGAAAGGCAGATAAAAGAGTGAGAAAATTATGCTCATAAAATGATTATCAAATACTTCCTGAATTGAAGCAGTTAGACCAGGTGGATACTTGGAAATTTTTTTTCTTTTAAAGCTATTTGATGTTAACTAGTTTTATTTTATGAAAGCTTTATAAATTCTATTTACATTACTTTGCTACTGGCTAAAACTTAATTATTTGGTTCAAAACTAGAAAATAAAAAGGTGGTGTGCTCAACAAATTTTAAAAACACAAAATTGAGTTTTAGCTCATAACTGTCATATACCTTCGTTTTTAGAAAATGACCAAAGTTGAGGAAAAAAAGGAAAATGACCACTGATGTGTACTATTACAAGATATAATTTTCTGTTTGTGTGCATTTTATTTTCTAAATTGGAGAAGACTTTTTTTATGGGTATGAGCTAAGTTTTCAAAGCCTTGGAGTCCCCAGGCATGGTGGCACACATCTGTAATCCCAGTGACTGAGGCTGAGGCAGGAGGATGACAATTTGAGAGAGCTGAGTCTCAAAATAAAAATGAAAAGATGCTGGTGAAGTAGCCCAATGATAAGGAGCCCTTGGTTTAAACTGGTGACTTACCACTGAGCTACATCCTCAATCTTTGTAATTTTTTTAGACAGAATATCAGATAAATTGCTTGCTGGCCTCAAACATGGTGATCTTTCAGCCTCATTATCTGGAGTTGCTGAGATGACAGGTGTATGCCACCACTCCTGACTTCAGCTTTAATTATAAAAGAAAAGTAGAAATTGCACTTTATGTCTTGTTCAGATTAGACTGTTGACACTGCATTATGCTTAGGTGGTATCCTTAGTTGTTTGTGTGTTATTTTCAATTGAAAGTTTTTAAAGACTTGTTTGGAGTATAGATGATGTCTGTATGATTATTTGCTTTATTTTTACAGGTGGCTTTCCTGGAGGAATGCCTGGTAATTTTCCTGGAGGAATGCCTGGAATGGGAGGGGGCATGCCTGGAATGGCAGGAATGCCTGGGCTCAATGAAATTCTTAGTGATCCGGAGGTTCTTGCAGCCATGCAGGTAAGACTTATTAAGAGGAAATTTGGACTTTTAATTATTGAGGCATTTCTACATAATTCTCTGAAGTGATAAGGTCACTTAACCATTTTGCATTTATATTAGTTATCCAATAGCTAATTTTGTAGTTGGGACATTTGTAATGAGTAGGTTTTTAAGAATTGGTTATAGGACATACTCTGTAATAGTTGGCAATTAGTAACATGTTACCTTTTTTTTCTTCCTTAAAGTTGTGTGTGCTTTATTTTATTAGCTCAAGCAACACAGTTAGGCTTGACTTTTAGGTGCACATTAATAAAATTTATATTTCATGGAGTGTCTAATCCACAATTAATTTGACCATAGCAGAATTACAGGTCTAAATAAAGAGATGGGGTTCAGGATCCTAAAGTTGTTGATAAATTGGGACACTTCTTTAATACTCAAAAATAAATAAACAAAACCCTTTTTTTACAGGATCCAGAAGTTATGGTGGCCTTCCAGGATGTGGCCCAGAACCCAGCAAATATGTCAAAATATCAAAGCAACCCAAAGGTTATGAATCTCATCAGTAAATTGTCAGCCAAATTTGGAGGTCAAGCGTAATGCCCACCTGACAAAACCCTTACTGAAGGAAAAGCAACCTAGATCACTTAATGGCTGTCGCAATAATACAAACC